TATACACGTAATTACCAGCCACATTTGCAATTGACTGACTGCATTTCAATTAGTTTCAACAGCAACATATGAAATGGGCTTCTTATATTTAAAGGAGTAAATTTCTGCCAATTTTCTCAGAGAAGGAACCCATTTGATTTATACAGAAATGAAAAATGATTTTTCTTTTCTTTCAGGAAGATAAAAAAAATAAACTGCTTTGTTCATACAAAAGATATAGCTGACAAAAGAGTGAGGAGATGACCAATTTTCATACAACTCTCTGGATAAGGTTAGTTGTTAGCTTTTCCTCTACCTTGTATTTGCCCACTTTTTACATTTGTACTGTACCATGGCTAGTCCTTGGGAACCTTTAACTTTTTCTTCCCGTAGAGAAGCTGCCAGAATACGTTTTGTGGCTCTCAGTAAACTTTTATCCTCCTGAGATTCCAGACAGGGTAGTGTTGGTCTTACAGTATGTTGGAGTCATCAACTATGCTCCAAGTGTTTTAAATATGGCCATCTGCTCTGTTTGATAAGCATTCTTTTGTATCTTAGGTTTCTGTCTTGGCTGGAACTAATTAAATATGGAAAATGTTTCTGTTTTTTGGAAGTTTTTTTTTCTTTGTGAAGCCACCTTTTGAAGGCCAGTCTGATCAAACCATGTTTGGCCTTCAAGCCGCCTGGCTAAAGACCAAGCAAAGAATGCACTGAAGTAAAGTAACTGAACACATATGAGCTGGACGGGCTTAACACTTGAATAGGGCCCTCTTGACAAAAAAACATGGTGCACACCTGTAAAAAAGCATGATGTTCAAAGTAAACAGAGAAGAAAGTAAGAAGATCAGCAAAAAAAAAATTTAGCAACAGTTGAGATATTGAAATATTAACATCCGGATCCACTTAGTCAGCAAAATCAAACTGCATTGTGAGGTTCTGACAGATGTTAAGAACTATGTTTTAAAACTTCTTTTATGATGTTTTTCTTCTCAGAGCTGTTACTCATAGCTCCATCAGACCCGATGTATAATTCAATACAGGCCAAATGGAAACTCAGTTTTGCCCGGAAGACACTAGAAGGGTTACACAACTCTAACATCACCTTGTTTACCTAACATTATATAACCCTAATCAAGTGGGATTCAAAATGCTGTTTTAAAGATCAACCTTGACCACACGGAGCTCTCCATGGGCCTTTTAAAGACGGCACTGCCATGCGGATTTTTAACAACGAAATACTTAAGAACTGAGGAAAGACTTTGGATCAGTAGAAAGCGGTTTTGTGATAAAAGGTAGATTTGGGGTTTAAGTAGAGCTTCCTTTTATTAGATGTCAAAGTGCTCTTAAAAAGGCCCTAAATCCAAATCTGCAAATGTTTAAATGTAACTTTTAGTGTAAACTCACTTTGAGTGGTCAGTAAGACTAGAAAAGCACCATTTACATACCATCCTTTAAAGACGATGTTAAGGCACATGAATAACCAGGTATAATGCTGATTTTGACCAGATTGGTCAATATTGCCATAAAATGGTTTGATTTTACCAATCGGTTGGTAGTTATGTGTCCAACAAATATTTTGGTTAACAAACCAATCTAATATGATAGTTATTTTTAACAAATCTACATTGCTAAAAGTAACCAATATAAAATGCTCACTTTTACCAAAAATATTGGTTAATATGTGCAACACTGCAACAACATAGAAAGCGAGTGTTGGGGCTTGTCCCAACAACCTTTTGGTTACAAGGCAAACTCCTGCATCCATTACCTTTGTCGCCACTAGGTCCATAGGTATTACATACTATATTTGATTACAACCAAACAGTCAGATTAATAAACCATTAGTTACCACTTATGTTGGCTTTTGAGGTTAACCAATTCAAATGGTTGATCAAAAACAGATTGACTGCTCACTTTCTGACCAATATATTGGTTAATCTAACCAAAATTGGTTTAACCAACTAGATTGGTTGTTTTTCATATAGTTTTTAATTAATATAAACAGTATATTGAACAAAAACAAAATAGTTCATGGACATCAAACACACTACCTTGAATCATTTCAAATCAACAAATGATGCCTTCTGCATCAACTTGCCCAAAACCATCAGAGGTGAGTAGTAGATATTTTTAATGATAAGGATCCTCTAGCTTCTTTAGCCAGGCTTGGCTTATGAAGACATTATCAATAGTAGATAGAAGACATAAGAGGCCTCTTTTAAAATTACTGGTCTTCATCAGAGGCTATCAGGATGTTGGATGACTTATGGCCAGATTCTATGAAAGTTGAGCTACACTATAAAAAGTAAAATGGATGTCTCTCCAAATCAGACCAGGTTTTTCCACAAAAAGGATGAAAGAACAGGTTTTCAGTTTCTAACACAGGACCTAGAACAGAGTCAGTTTCTCCTAAATTTAGGACCAGGTCCCAAATTTAGAGAGTACACAGAATACTTGCACAGACTTCCTAGGAGGTGTTGGAAGACAGATTTTACTGGCACACAGAGTACCAAGAACATGACTCTGTAGGTCCATGTGCTTTCATTTGGAGTAATGCCCAGCCATCCTGCTTCTGCTTTGCAGGTAGGTCTCTCAGATAGCCCAAATCAACTTGAATCACTAAAATATCAGAGTTTACAGCTTACAAAAACTCAAAATTTCATCATGAGAAAATTTATTTGCATCAAAGGTTAGTTCAAATACCAATAGTCGTAGTCTTCCGCTTTATCCGGGACTGGGTTACAAGGGCAGCAGTCTCAACAGAGACTCCCATACTTCCCACTACCCAGACACCTCTTCTAGGTCTGCTGGGGTAAGCCCAAGGCATCCAGTTCAAAAAAAACTTTATTAATCCCAAAGGGGAATTTATCAGTATAGTATCTTATGTTTTGTTTTTTAACCAGTTGTTGTAGGCGTTGATAGCTGTAGGCAGGAAAAATCTTTAATTATGGATATCATACAGATGGATACAGATTAATAAAATAATCTGTATCCATCTGTCTTGCACCAGATGTGGAGAAGTCTTTTACTGAAGACACTTGTTTATTCCCAGGCCAGCCAAGATAAATAGTCCCTCTGGGTCTTCTCCTGGGCCTCCTCTCCATTGAACGTGAATGGAGCACCAAAGAAGGTGTTCAGGGGTAATCACAAAACAGGATGTATAAGCCACATCTGCTGACTGTTAATGTGGAAGAGAAGCAGCTCAACTATTGAGCCTCTCCTGGATGGAGAGCTCTTCACTCCATCTCGAAGGGAGTGCGCAGCCACTTTGTGGAAAAAGCCCATTTCAGCCGCTCGTATCCAGGATCTTATTCTATTGGTCATGATCCAGATTTCATTACTATTGGTGAGGGTAGATGGGTAGACTGACTGGTAAATGGAGAGCACTGCTTTTACGCTTAGCTGTCTTCACCATGATAGACAAGAACAGCGTCTGCACTGATAGTCTTAAAAGATACAATAAATAGTTTTGGTTAATATTTGAAAAATGTTTGACCTGGAGTTCAATTGTTAATACCTTTGTATTTTTTTTTTATGAAAGTTATGAATTTATTCCATATGTGCAGATTGAATGGACAATGAATTAAACTTGAATCATGCTTTTATTACCGTAGTTGTCCTAGAATGGCCATCTGGGCATGGGTTCAAAGATCAACATGAAAGTTATTAAAAAATGTAAAGAAAAACACTTATAATCGCAAAACCTTGTTAAACTGTCCTTTAGGTGGGGTTTGAATGAAACCTTAGACTACAAACAGGGAAAACTGCAGACTGTAAGGATACCAAACAGTCTAATAATAGAGGTAAGCCAAGCGAGTCCCTTTTTAAAGCTGGCATGAGTGCGTTATCCAAGCTTATCGATTGAAGATTGGTGGAGGGGCAAAAAAAACATATGTACACAAGGAAAAAAGGTTAATTACCGCTTTGACAAAACTGAAGCAAAGACAGTCGATGTAGAGAGCACCTGGAATATTTGCTTCAAGAAGCACCAATTGCATTACTCATTAAATATCTGAAACTGGGGTACAGACAGAAACAACTGGACTACTGCTCTGTGGTCCAATATCCTCTTTTCAGATAAAATGGGAAAATACATACATGTATACGAAATCCCAGAGTTTGGAGGGAGAATAGAGTTGAGAGGAGCCCACATTTTCTAAACTCCAGAGTAAAGTTTTCTAGTGAGTGATGAATTTGGGGTGAGATGTAATCAACTGGTAGCAGTCCACCATTTTAAAAAGTCCATGGTCTAAGCAGCGCTCTCCCAGGAAATGTTAGTTCACTTCATGGATCGCTTTGCTGACAAGTTAGACAAAAATGCCCATTTCTTTAAACTCCAGCAATTTGGGACCTCCCCACACAACCAAAGCTACCAGCTTTAACGAGTGCATAACCACCACCTGATTAACAATCTCAGCTGACCAATGCCCCAAAGAAAAATTGTACTATTCCCAAGAAGAGGAGAAAAATCAACACTTCAGTGGTGTTGCAGGTGGATAGCTTCCATGCCTTGCTGCACAGATGCGGTAATTCATCCCTAAGGCCTCTGGCAGGTATTAAATGCCTATATTATATAGTTTTAACAGGTCCACATCTCACTAACGACCTGTGTAATGCACCAATATAAAGGTTTGCCAAAAAAAAAAAAGTTTGTTGATCAACATCTGCATAACAACAATCAAACTTTTCAGGATTAGGGTTCTGAAGAACTTCCAGTTGAAAATGCACAAAAACTAACATTACTCCATTGAATTAGTTTAAGAGTAAGGCTATAAGCCAATAGAGTCAAGCTATAGCAAGGAAGGAAAACAGAATATAGGTCAAAAAAGCCTTAGATGGCAAATTCTTGTCATGGGTCTGCTTCTCATTACAGCAAAGCGAGTCGAGCTCAGCCACAACCTCAACAAATAATGTGGGCACAGAGGCAGCCAGCTTGAACCTCAGGAAGAGGAGGTATAACAAAGACAATTACACATATAGACATACAAGGAGAAGGCAATTAAAAATGTGCGGTAGACCAAGAATCTAGAACATTTGTTTTATTGTACACATTGTGTTGGCCAGTCCAAGGTCAAGAGCTGCAGAAGAGTTTGTCATAAGAAAGCAGGTATGTTTCAGACTACAGTTGATTAGCAAACTTTTTTGTTTTGCACAATCCTTTATTGAACAATAAACAAAATAGAAAGCTGAAGGCTTCAAATTAATAAACAGATTGTGTTTCTGGATGAGGATCCCAACAGTTCCAGGCAGACAAGGGGGTTGAAGCACACATTAAGAAAAAAAAAAAAACTAAAGAGTTTCTCCAGCAGATTTCCATACCAGCCCACAAGACAGAGATACAAGTGTACCATAGAAAACCCAAGGTGTCCAATTAAAGTCCCCAAGGGGGAAACATTCTTTGAATAAAAACTGGTTAATATGCAAAATAACAGTGTTGGTTTTTAGGACATAAAAAGCCAAAAGTACAACTGAACAATGTGAAATGGATCGCTGTGTGCAATGTTTCAGGATGATGTCGAAGGGACAAGGCAAAAGAAATAGATGAAAGGCAGAAGGGGCAATATAATGCTGTCCTTTGGTATACTTTGAGAGACTGGACTTAATTGAGCAATGAAAAATAAAACTGAATGCTCAGTTTGGATATCTAAAATTTTGTTACAAGCCTAAATAGGATGTATATCTGACAAAAATGGGTTGGCAACTAATTTTTAACAACCATATTTCTAAAGGGGCAGAAACTGTGTTACCCTGCAGTAAAGGTACAAAAAACATCAAACCTGTTTTACTTGTATACAGTTTTACCAACCAAAGTCATGTGTGTCCAAAACCAAGTTCACATAAAACAGAAAAAGAAATTTGATTTCAGACTCGTGCAGAAACACATTATGTGTTGGACTATGATGGTGATACTGGTGGCTGGAATGAAATGGGTTTGGAGTGAAAACAAAGACAAAAAAGGAAATAAATATCAAGCAAAGAACTATCAATTTTATTTTTTTCCTTGTGCTTTAGAACGCTCAGTTTCTCTGAAAACAAATTCCAATGCAAGTATTTTTCTTCCCCCAAAGGGGGAAAGAGAAGTACATCTAAACAATAAGAAAAATGGAAAGAGCAAAAAGATGCAATTAACTGAAGGGAGCCCCCACTAAAGAAGAAAGGGGTGTTGTTGTTCAGTACACTTAACTCCTCAAGCACACAAGTGAATAACTGACAAGTGAATAAAAAAAATAATAAATCAACAGGAAAAGAAAAAAGTAAACAGGGTAAGATTTGCAGTGGAATCTATCTTGATCACTTTGCTTTTTTTCTCCAGAACAGGAACTGTGTTTAAAATCTGGACAGTCCTTACGAACCAAAACGTTTTCAGTTGACATTATTTTTTTTTATTAGCTCTTTTTATACATCTAAATCCAAATATGTGTAAAATATGCATTTGTCAAATCGTATTCATCAGCTTTTTCTTGTGCACAGAAGCTTATTTGTTATTAAATTCTAAAGCACAATAATAGATTTTATTTTTCAACAATACTCTTTATCTAAACCCAAATCCCATGAAAATGATCATTCAAAAACAAGGAAGCTGTCTCCACCCATTTTCCTTTCTTCTTTTTTATGGCTCAAGTTGTACCTAGGTTTAAAAGCATCATAAAAGTGAGAACATGAAAGGAGGTGGTGGTGGGGGCAGAACAACACAATCTGGTATTTTGGGGGGGATGAGACTGGTGATACTGCTGGTGCTGGGCCTTTTCAAAGCACAACGGCAAACGGCAAGCTTTGAAACTGTTGCTAATTCAAGGCCGACAGTTCTCCTTCAGTAAAAGGCAAACACTGATATTTTAGGTCGCTTCATTTAAAAAAAAAAAAAGGTAATATGAAGAGATTGTCCCCTTCAGTCCACTTGCAGTGTATGGATTGACAGTTCCTCCTATGAAAATTCAGCGTTTGCCAGAGCCAAGCTTTGGGCTCAGTTCAAGGAGAGTCTCAGGTTCCAACCTTTTAACCCCCCCACCCAACTGTCTGTTCGACAGTCTTTCCTTGTTGGTTTAAAAGGGAAACAAAAAGAAAAATCCAAACGCAGTGGTGAACAGAGAAGAGAGCAGACACAGGGAAATCTTTGTGGATGCAGCTTGCTTCTCTTCTTCTGAAATTAACTAATAAAAGAGGTGACAAGGGGGGGGAAAAGGCATCGGAAAAGCTGGTTCTCTGGAAAGCAGGGAAGAGGAGGAAAATCTTGCAAGAGAACAAGTCGGGCAGTGTTCCTGTTCATTAGTTTGGTGTGTTTTTGTCGTGTATGTAGAAGCACTTTATTGTCGCAAGTGCATTTTGAGCGTGTGTGTGTGTGTGTTCAGCTATAGTTGTTTACAGGGACGTGAAAGGGTGTCTCTACAGCAGGTCCACACGGCGGTAGTACAGCAGGTAGGCGGTACGTTCAGCTGTCTGTTTCAACACCTGGTACTGGTTGATGACCTTGACCGCCTGGTCGTCAATGCGCAGCCAGCCGTTAAGACCAATGTGGAAGACATCAGTGGTGTAATGGCCGCCTGTCGCGCTGTTTCCATGGTGGTAAACAACTGTTGGAGATGGAGAAAAGCATCAGACTACAAGTTTTAGAAAAAGAAAGCTAAGTGCAATAAATCCACATTTTTACTAGTTTTTATAAATCAAAATTCTTTCAGGATTCCAAAGAGATATATTATTTTCACCCATGACATCCTACAAACACTGCATTCTAGAAAATGGATTTTTCATATTGATGGATATTTTTGACAAACATGTGAAAAATGCCTGGGGAGTATTATTGTGATAGAGGAATTCTTTATCATTATTTTATTACAATACTTAGCATTATTGTGATAGAGGAAGAGACATCCTCATGACAATGAATGCATTCCACGGTGAAAACTACTTCAGTAAACGGTTAACGTGATCTATATAAAAGCAACAAACCTGCAAAGAGCCTGTAAGTTCTTTGGCCTTTCAAAACTTTGCTTCGCACTCCAGAAGACAACAGATCTGAAAAAAAATAAATAAATAAAATCAACACATGGGAAAAAATAAAAATCACTAAATAGACCAACATGTTAAAGATTTCATAAAGCAGCAGCAGCAGCTTTAATGTCAAATACAAAAACTTTAACGCCAAACTTTAACTTTAAAAAAAAAAAAAAAAAAGTCCTGAGAGGCTTTGCAGTGTGGGTCCATTCATACCTTTGCTGATTTCAAGGTCAACTGGGTAATCAACGTTCTTTGTCAGTTTCTGGCAGCCTCCAGTCTTTTCAAAGACAAATCTCTTGAGGTGAAGAACAAGAACAGGTGGCAGCTCTTCTAGAGTTACCCTGCGACTGATCTCAATCTAGAAGTAAACCAGAAAATGAAAAAGATGAAAGTTGCATGTTGTACAGCAAAAAAAACTTCATTTACATATTGTTGTTTTGTTTTTTGAAAAAGACCTTTAAACTATGTGTAGCTTAAAAGAAAACAAGATTTTGTTATAGCGAAATGATTAAAATAGAAAACAGTATTATATTGGAAAAAACAGGATGCAAAACTCCGAGTGTCTCATAAATCACTCAATGTTTTTCTAGGTACCAACAGGTCACGGATTAGTTTTTCATTCTCAGAAGGTGAGTTTATCTGCTGTTGCTTACATCCACAAATTCACCTAAGAACCATTTTACAGCTGTTATGCAGATATTCTTTGCATCACTTATCAGCAGTACCAGCTTTTCATTTTCAATCAATATTTGTAAGGTCCATCTAGATTTAAAGCAACTGAGATTTCTAAGTGAAACTTTATTGACTTGGACGTTGTTAAAGTGTTAGAATTTAGAAGAATTTTCTAGGCTTGGGATTTTTATAATACGGTTGAAAAGCATTATAAGTGCAAATTTCACCTCTTATTGTGACGAGAATATTTTCTTTTCTTTATTTTATTGTGAAGTTAGAACCAGAAGTTAAATATTCAAGCTAAAAAAATGTATAACTCACTTCTTTTTGTCATATTTATTACAAATATTTTTTGTCTTAAATCTGATCTCAACCAGAGTTAATTATTATTTTCATTATGCATAAACTACAATAACTATTTAAATCATAGCAGATTTTTTGTCAAATTACAAATTGAATACATTTCAATCAAATCCAAGAAAAATAACCTTAATAATTTCACATTTTAAAAAACTGCTTTATAAAGAAAAGGTTTTTACTATGAAAACTATGGTGGCCCTGAAGTGCAAACTGCAACTACAAATCTAAAAGCACAACTACATTAAGGAAATCGCAACTACATTAAGAAAAACAAAACTATATAAAGCAAAGCGCAACTACATTAAGGAAATCGCAACTACATAAAGCAAAGCGCAACTACATTAAGGAAAACAAAACTACATAAAGCAAAGCGCAACTACATTAAGGAAAACAAAACTACATAAAGCAAAGCGCAACTACATTAAGGAAAACAAAACTATATAAAGCAAAGCGCAACTACATTAAGGAAAACAAAACTACCGCAACTACATTAAGGAAAACACAATTACATTAACCTACCGGAAAAGGAAGATACCAGTGGGAAACGAGACATCGCTGATTGGACGACGGGGCCTTTTGACCCTTGAACCGGAAGTCATTCTGCCTGCTGCGGCTTTTGAAAACATGGATATTGTCGGCGCCCCAAACATAGCTGCCGTTATCCAGGAATATTTTGAATCAGGACATACGTATGAGGTGATACTGGATATGCTCAAGACTAATCACAAAATTTCAGTTAGTTTGCGTACACTGAAGACACACTTAAAAGAAGCTGGACTGTTCAGACGACGCAACTTCCGGTTCAAGGGTCAAACGGCGCCGTCGTCCATTCAGCGATGTCTCATGTTTCCCACTGGTACCTACCTTTTCCGGTAAGTTAATGTAATTGTGTTTTTCTTAATGTAGTTGCGCTTTGCTTTATGTAGTTGCGATTCCCTTAATGTAGTTGCGCTTTTAGATTTGTAGTTGCAGTTTGCACTTCAGGGCCACTGTAGAAAACAGCTCTGTAATCGAATACAACATGTAAAAGAATATTGCGTACACCCGTGTTTTGAGAACAAACATTTTCCTCACCTCCTGCTTGGTTTTGGTGGTGTAGCCTTGAACAGATTCTCGGGCCACCAACGTTTCCAAAGCCTCCTGAACTGTGCGGATCTTCTCAGACTGGATGTCAAGCTGCAGGGTGAAAAAGGGCTGCAAAGTGGCTGACTCTTTAGAGTTCTGTTGATACACCACAGATCTGTTGAGAATATGCCAAAAGAAATAAATTACACTAAAGAAATAACGGAGAAATGTAGATCAAATTCATGAGAGCAGTATAGTCCAGTTCAAGGAGTAATTTTAAAGCTTCAGACTTTTTATTTTAAATGGGGATAATTATTCTAAGCTGATAATGACAAATATCAAAGCTAAAAATAATGGTTCCTAAACATTTTGTAGATAATAGTGTAATAACTGTTGCAGCAACTCAAGACAAAGGAATTACTCCCACTAATACATTTAAGAGTGTGTGGATTACAGCCAAGCTTGGTTGGTGTTCAAAGTTGGTCTGATAAAACCTCTCTTAAATTCCCCCCCTCTCTCTCTGGCCCCACAAACATTTCTGAGAACATAACCTTCTCAGGGACAGTTAAAAAGCGTAAAAGAATTGAGTAAGACCAGACCATTGAAGAACATATCATTAGAGTGGGCAGACGTTAGTTTTATTTTCCAGTTTATTTTTCAAGCTAAGACATTTGTTGATGGCAGCTCAATGTCCTGCTGTCGAGACCCTTACACAACAATAAAAAAGGATTTAAGCTGGAGATGTTAAAGCAATTTGTTATATCAACCAGAATACAGGGAAAGCAAACATGGAGGCCAAAGAACCACTGCAGCAAATGCTTATGTACCTGATGTGTCCACCGAAAATATCAGTGATGGGAGTGCGAACAAAGTCCGCCTGACGAGTCACTGAAGTCTTGTTTCGGGGACCCACTTGTTCCCACTCGTCTTCACTCCCTTCTTCCTCCTTATCAGCTCCATCTTCCTCTCCACCTGGCTGAGACTCTGGGCCATTGGGTGTGGGAGCTTCCGGTAGAAAAAAAAAAAATATGAAATGCATTTTAATGTTTTCCTAACTTTTCAAAAAAAAAATTCAAGAACCCAGTTCCCCACTTTAGAACCTTCCTTTACAAAAGAAAGGTTTACATTTGCTTTTGAGCATTAATCAGCATTTGAAAAACAGCCTTTTCAGTTTATATAAAGCAAAAGTTAGAGCCTCACTGACAATTCCAAGAATTAGTTCAATAAAACACAGATTAATTCCCCCATAATCTAAAAGGTTGCATACTCTCTTCCTGAGGCGAGATTAGCTTTTTCAATGCCAGCATCTCCTCATGGAGTCCATTGAGGGTAAACCCAAGATACTCCTCTGCATCCTCTTGTCGGCCCTAGAAAAAAAAAAAAAGTAATAAAGAATTCCTGCTGACAAACTTCAATAATGAAAACCACAACGTGCGCACACATTCTCACACTAATGGGTTGAGGTAAACAGAAAGGAAGAGCATGCAGGATGGGTGGTTAAATATCAAATAGATGAGCATTTTGAGTCAGCGTATGTGATGCTGATTTGTTTTTCTCCCAGAAATTATCCAATTACACAAAAATATGTCTTTGCAACACAAATTCTCAAGTACTTTCTGTTCCAGACAAAGTGTTATCCTAAAAGTAAAGCTCTGACACACTGCTGTGCAATGAATATAAAGCAGCTTATCTCACCTTCTCAGAGAGACTCGACTTAATGAGAGTGAGGAGTCTGTAAATGTAAGTTGGCTCAAAAGGTACACCAGGACGAATGTCTTTTACAACTTTGTCACCAACAGCTGTGAAGGTAAAACATAGATGTATGAACGTATCGGATAAAGTGAATGCAAATTATCTAGAAGACATTTGCAGTATCTAAAAAACTTACTTTGTTGTTTGGTTTTTGATGGCACAGGCATGTTATTAAACTCATTCACCAACCTAACGCTGCAAGAGGTAAAAAATAAAAGTGAAACTTCGCACTGCAACATTTTTAAATAGAACCAATAAATTTTCAGAAGAGATTCTTACAAGTTATCTATCATGGGTGTGGAGGTGCATGTTCTCTGCATCTCATTATGCAGAGGAAGAGACTTCATCAGGTGATACATGGGTGGGCAGGCAATCAGGGCCTGAAGGGTCTTAGAGTTCAGAGTCAGGAAGATAAACAGATTATGGTACCAAAAAAAAAATGAATGCTGCAAATAGAAAACCATGTACATATAACAGAGCAGTGAAAGGATACAGCGTTGATATAGCACCAGTTTCCCTTGTTGATCAGACCCCTCGGCTGCAAAGACACTGGTTTATGTATCAACTTCACATTCTCAATAATTTCTGCAAATTCAAAAAGAGATTTTTTTAATAAGGTTCAAGAAACAGAAAGACAAAAACTTTAAACTTTGATTTTATAATATCAAAGTGAGGTCATATATATATATATATATAAATAATGTATCATCATACTTTAGGAGAAAAATAACATTTTCATTCCGAAACAATTGTTCCTTTTCCTATTCCTGGCTCTGATGTCAGCAGAGACCATCTGAATAAGAGCAAGAGTTTGCTGTACCACGCCTAGGAAGGGAGACTGTCATTAACAAACAACACAGCCCCCAAGGAAACGTGGATGATTTCTATACTAGATTTCCAAAAGTAAATACAGTGGTTTAGATACAACTGGTGATTCAACAACCCAAAAAACAATAACAGTTATTACACATACAAAAACATATACACACGCACATATACTTATATACATCTCTATCATATATTTTTATACAGTTGTTATTGATATCAGCAAAGGCCTCTTATGAGCCATATGTGAAATAAAAAAAATAAAAAAACTTATGGGATTCTGGTGATAAGATTTATCATACTGTTGCCTTCATTAGAAAAAATGTTTGGCTCACAGACTTTTTATTAAATTCCTAATAAATCATTCTGGAATTGTATTCTATGCTGAAATGTTTTGTTGGATTGAACCTGCAGCATAGACTATACAAACAGCTGGCCTGTGGCTTCATGTTTGTGATTTACAAGAAGATCGGTCTTTTTCCAAATAAAAAATAAACATCACAGATAAAAGGTGAAGGAATAAAAAGCAACATTATGATTCAGGTTTTGGCTGCCTGTAAACCCACTTGTGGCAATAACGTGGCTGCAAAAATAAACAAAACAAGCGTAAGCTGATGCAACACATGGCTCTGGGGTTTAGAAACCCAGTTTTTGGAGGATTACTTTAAAGTAAAGGAAAATTCCTGTATTTATATCAACGATGTGCTGACAGAAATGCTGTTACACTCGCTTATAAAGCCAACCATTTTATGTTAAACATATTGTTAAAGCTTCATCGAAACATACAAATGCTCACAGGGTGAGGCCCAGAAGGCATTCTTGACCTACGGTACTTCTAATGCTCTGTGAATGGAGCAAACTGGGTGACAAATATAATGCATGACCTATCTCAAAGATATGCAGCAGACAGTGCTGCCATCTAGTGTTCATTTCTCTAGTTTATGCATTTGGTTCCTTTTAAATTTAAAATAAAACAAATACACTGGGAGAATCAATTAGTATTATCGCCTTAACTTCATCTTTCCACTTTCCAAACTCCTTCAAAAAGGCAGTGGAACAAATAAACAGAATACAGAGAAAAGTTCAGAGACAATGTGAGCTTTTTAAAACTTTATACCTGCCAGTTTTGGGGCCATTGGATCTTCTGATACAGGGACAGGACCTTCCTTAAACTCCCCAACCTTTTCAGGTTGCTCTGGCACTGCAGGAGAGGGAGATGCAACTTCCACAACATTTTTCACCTCTACAAAGGCCTGAGGGCTGCCAGGAAGAGGCTTTGAGTTGTGGAACAGGCTAGCCCAAGATTTGGGAAGATTGGCAGTTGGTGCAGCAGGAAGTGCAGGAGAGCTCGCCTGCTCTGTTACTAAAGGCTGTATCAGAGAGTCTGGGCTAAGAGGCTGATCCTGCTCGCCACTGTCACAGTCTTCTTTGTGTCCATGTGAACTGACAGGAGTATTGGTTTCTTCTAGTCCATTGGCCACTCCAGTATCTGCTGCCTGTGATTCCTCTAGTTCAGTAGTCAAATTGGAAGTGCGGACAGAGGGGGTGGTCACACCGGCTGAGGGAGGAAGAGGGGATTTAGAGAGGGGGCTGTGAGGGGGATCTGAAAGTTCAGCACTTTGTAGAGCCAAATGCTCCAGCTGCTGGTCTGCAGTCCTTGATGCATCCACCATCTCTCTGCTTTGAGAGGAGGACGACGAAGAAGAGAAAGTTGCATTGTTACCATCTGATAAAGAGGCAGCCCCACCCATTAAGTCTAAAGAAGAGTCCCCAGGTCTATCACAAGTCCTCTGATTGGCAATGGATGTGGAAGCAAAGACAGGCGCTGTTGATGTTGCAGTGGAAGCAGGTCCAGGGGTAACAAGTTCATCTGCTGACAATGCCTTACAATCCACATCCTCAGAACTGTTGTGTGAGCCTCCAAGTGCATGTCCATTCACCAGTGCCGTCACAGGAGAACCATCCGAGGTGACAGCGCTGCTGGAGCCTCCACCAGCTGATGCGTCCAGGTAGTTGTAGTACCCGGGCGGTCGCTTTTTCTTTTTCTTTCTCTCTCGCTGTCCCAGGCTGCCAGGGAGTCCATCCATGTCCTGACAGGACTGGTGATTGTCCAGGGCTGACACCTCAGAATCAGGCCCATCCAGCGAATTAAAGTGTCTTCCATCAGGGGCGTCAGCTTCTGGAGGAGCCAGCTGCTGAGCCTTCAGAGACGTCTGGCATCCCAGAATGAACTCTGGAGCCTGGGGGTTGAGGTTACTCGACACCTTGTACAGAGGATCTGTTGCTTCAGCTGGTTTGGAATCAATCACCTCATCAACTCCAAATTCAATGTGCTGACAGTCTTCCGCTGCAGAAAATATATCAATTATAAGATACAGATTATTAGTCGGTATATAGTTCAATGTCACAAAAACACCTCTTGAATGAGGCAAATAATTTTTCTTATTTGGTTTTTTGTCGCAGCAATTTTTATTCCATTTAAAAAGTAGCCTGATTCCGATTTAATTCAGCAAAAATTTTCAACAAGGCAGAAATCTATTATGTGAAAGTTAATATTGCTGAAGTCATATGACGCTAAAAAATATTTGGGACATGCTATCAATAAGAGAATCCTATTTTAGGGTTTCATGGATAAATTTTTCTTCCCCAGTTCTTAGCATCCGTTGTTAATGTTTTCACAGGCACCCGCAAAATGCATTTTCACTGTGGTTGATTTGCAAACCATAGACATGTTTCCAATAATGTCTAATGCAGACAAAAGTTTAAAGGAGAACGTAAAATGCAAATCAACTTAATAAATTCTATGCTCACTTGAGGTAGTTTCTGACTTTCAAACTCAAGTAAATGCATTAAAGAGGAAATGCAAACACAATTGTGGAATAAATTCTTAAAGCCAATTACTGACTTATGAAGAAAAACCCACATCTGAATTGCTTAAAGATGCTGGATTAAATCCTTCTGGGTACCAATCCCTAAATCAATAGAGTGTGCTTTATAGGATTGGGACAATATGGCCAATATGTATATCACTATCAATTTCTTAATTTCAGTCAATTCGATATAATTTCAATATGAACAAAACCAAAGCCTGAGAAATACTGCCAAGAATCTCCAGAAAAGACTCCTGTACTTAAATGTTATAACAAATAACATTAACGGTTATAAAAATAACTGTTATAAAAAAAATGTCCATGTTCATAAACTCCCCTAACATTTGAGGAAATTTTTGTTTTAGAAAAAAGAAAAAACAAAACTACATAAAAATCTGAAAAATCAGTGAAATTCTGTAAACATAAATAGTAAGGTATAAAATATCAAAAAATAGATAAAATTGTTATTACATTAAATTATATTGCACTATATACTGCATCACTGCCCACCCCTATGTTTAATCCCTAACTGTGAAAGGGATCAGACGGTCTAACTTTTTTATCCCTTTATGGGTCTGTATGAGCCTAGATCCTTTTCAGTTTAAATCTGAGAAATTTGAAGGGACATAGGCGTCAGCATCAATTCTAGTAATCCACTCATATAAATGCATTTCCATAAATCCAACAATCTATATCGAGAAAATGCACTTTAAAACCTTTAAAAAGAGGGATTCTCAAAAACACAGCAATAGCCAAGCAACCCTCTGAAATGTGTCAGTGTTTTAAAAGCATTACTTTTTCAGTGTGAAATCAATAAGCTTGTTTAATATTAACTGAAGACCCATGAAAAGGAGTCTGAATATCAAAGTATTGCACAGACTGGTATAACTGCTAAAAGCAAAGAAACCTTCACAAAGGCATCTTACTGTTGCAAAACAGTAAAATGACTGCTTTGCATTCCTAAACTTGTAAATGTTCCAGAAAGCTCTGTTGCGGAGTTACAACATGCAGGTGGAAAGGGGATAATTTTACCCTAACCTGGCAAAAGCCCAGTGCACCTCATAAGATGTTTGAAAGGGGATCGGAAACGAAGATCAAGAATGTCATGTTCCAACTAAATTTTATAAGTAGAGAACATTAGAGGGGGCTGGAGAGAGCAGATGGAACTTTTCAACAGAACAAAATGAGGCGCTCAACTGCAAGGATCTTATACACACTTGCTGCATAAGACTCCAATGCTGAAGAAAAAATATTCTTAACATCTAAGATACTACATTTAGGCTTTCCTCATTTGTAGGCCATCATCAATAAGTTATGGAAATATAGGCTTTAAATCCTTCTCTATAAATAGAGAACATATTCTCTATAAACTTTATGAAAAAAGTGAAAATATAAAATATACATTTTTCTTTAAAAGTAAAATACATTCTGTTAGTGTTTGATATTCATTCTCTATGCCCTCTATTTTCCAACCCATAACTTTATTTTTTGACTATTTTGCTTTAATGTCTGTATATTTGTGGATTACTTGGGTTGTTGCCTACATTTGGAGGAACATTGGGTGTTTTTCTGCCACCTGAATTTTTATTTTCTCCAAATAGTTAACCATGTTATGATTGGAAATTTCTGTCTTGAATTCATCCAGTTCAACAGATTTTTTTTTCTACACAAATTTGGCAGTTACCCACAGCGACCACATTAGCACCAAACCCCTAAAAGCACACTTGTTTATTCTGAGATTAAACTTGTTGACAATTTTTGGATGTTACAATCAATATACCAAACGTTGCATTGACCCTCATTTTATTCTGTTTTAAAATAGAGTTGCCAAAGGTGGGGTAAACCCATTTAAGAAACAGAGAGCCATCTCTCACTGGACAGTAAAGAAAATAGTTTATTTTTTGTAGACTATGCATTTTATAATAAGCTTATATTTAAAAAATAGTCAAACTACACAGGGTAAAAACTTATCACTTAAAAAGCTTATAAGTTAGAGGATATTCTTTTATTAAAAACACAGTTTATTAAAAGTATAATTAATCTTTAAATGTTTCTGGACAGAGTTTAAAGCATCACAAACTCAATCAACAATGTAAAACAGTTCCTAAAGTAACAAATCTCCTCATATTAAGAATCATTACGCAGCAAGAGGTGCAAGGGTGAATATAAACAGGAAATATTAGTAAAAGCAAATCAGGAAATTCATTCATGTGACTAATTAGCTTATAGGTCACGATAAATAAACTAATATTCTGCAGAAATAAAGAGGGCATTGAAAGGAAGATACTTCCTCTTTAAGGATTAGAGGATATTCTGTTAGTGTTACTGAAATCATTCTTCATTAGAGTCCATTGCATTCAGTTGTAAACCTGGCTAGAATTCAGGTGTTCCTTTATAGGCAAATGTTAGCATGTAAAGAAACCATCACTATGCCCCTAATGAATAAGCCATGATTGTTAGATCAAATGAAAGTTCAATCATATTTCAGTTAATCTGATGCCCTGCAGTGGTGCATATGCATTAAATGCAAAAGAAGATACTTCAAGTATCGCGAGCATGCAAAGCTCTAAAAAGTTTACCAACAGGCAAGAGAAAGGATAAAAGGTGCATAGTTTAGAAAGCCACCAGTTATTGAAACTTGGACTTGTAGTTCTCAGAAACAATGTACATCAACCAATCAAGTCGCAGGGTGTGAGCCCTTTCAACTCACCGCAAACCTGCAGTCCCAAAGACTCCATAATAAAAGGCACAGCAGGAGTGCAGTAACTTCCTAAATAATCAATACAAATCAAGACAAGGCAATGCAGTTATGTGCAAATGGACACCACTGAAATAAAGGTGGATGTTCTAACATTTCAAAGCTGGGTTAACTCGTTTGATTTTTAAAATAATTTGAGAACTTGAGCGATTTAAAACCGACTCCAAGAGGCAAATTTGTGAAAATTTGTTAAAAAAAAAAAAATCATGAGGGAGCCTAATTTTAAATCTTACAGTCATAAAACGATTAAAAATGGGTTTCAGCTAAATGAAGAACCATTGGCTAAAGCGAAAGTAGATTATTTAAATGCTGTAACTTCCAAAAACAAGATCAAACATCATGTGAAAAATACATACCTGAAGACTGATTAACACACTGAACCTTGTCATTGAATGGAGGAAGCTGTAAGAAATAAACAAAATTTATGAACATGACGCAAACAAATTCAAATACATTTGGAAATGTTGAGTGAGGACATTTTAGTAGCATTTTATGCAACCATGAATTCAACATATTCCTATATTACTCACAATTTAAATGACAAATACAAGTTATTTCTCCTTACCTCAACATAAAATCGAGGCGTCACGAAAAACTGGTTGATCTCATCAGGGCTGAACTCCCCAAAGATATACTGAGGGAGAAAAATCAATCAAACCATTAGTTTAGATTTAAGTCTTGTGATCTATAAATATTACATCACTTAAACCTGGCTAAGAACTACAAAATGTAAATGTTAAGTTTATCTTCAATTTCAAAAACCTTTCAAACTGTAAAAAAAAACAAAAAAAACAGGACAAATATAAAATATTACCTCAAAGAAAGGGGCTAAAAGTCAGGAATGCAGCTTACAACTTAAGTGATTGTAAAAGCCTGTTACCTGGATAACATTTAAATTGCATATTGTTAAATATTAAAGTACTTTGGCTGCTATAGAGTCTTTCATCATTAAGCAAATACTATTATCATATCTTAAGCAAAGGTAAATGAAATGATGAGTCACACTGTGTTATACATAAACCTAGAGTAAACAGCTGAAACCGAATTTTAATGAACCATCAATAAAATCAAGTTCATCTCTTGTACAAGACAAAAATGGGATTATGGGTCAATTTATAGACTTTTCAACAGAAAACCTTCAGTTATAACTTTCGTGGTGTAAAACACTTGTTCACTTACAAACAGCAGAACCCTGTCAATAATTAAAAACATAATTCAGCAACTTAAGATAACATCATGGCTGGTGGCTCATAAATATGAACCTTTCTTAGAAACTCACAACTGTGTCACTTGCAGAAAGGACAGCACCATTTCTGTTGACTACAATTACATGGGGGGTTGGCTGCTTTAGTACTAAAACTATTTTGTCAGGTTATGTTTTAAACCATAGAGACACCATTACAGGAAACTCAGGCTAAATTCTTAGTATGATAAAAAGCTTTGTTCATATCAATATTGTTTAGGCATTGAATGCTCTGCTGTAGCCGTAATCCCAAACCAGACATTTCTGGTTTCTTACATTTCATTTGCGTCACCTGCAATAACTAACTCATAAGCTATATTTAACCATTTCAAAAACCCCACAAAGATTTATACCTTATTGCAAAATTAGTTTCTGTAACAAAGGTGTAATTATACCACAGCTTAGCAATATTTGTATTTTTCATTTAATTTTCCAACTTAAGACTAAAAAAGAACAATTTATAATGTTTAGAACCCATCTTTAAGTGAAAATTATACTTTTTTTGCTACTCTTAAACGTGCTATAGAACGAATTAACACCTTAAAGTGGAGGAATGTCTGCTTGGGCAGCCAGCCTTAAGTGAGCTGCTTAAAAGTCACATTGATCAGTAACTACAGTTTTTGAACACCCAGGTTCAGAGAGTGAAGAGTAGCCATCTTTATTTTCTATCGCATAATAAAGAAGATAAAGAGAAATACAGACATGCTTCTTTCAAATGGAAAGAATACAGTGGACAGCAATAGGTGGGGGAAGGGCAGTATGCTTTAATTTATATAACTAGGAAAACATCTGCTCACATTTGCCAAAGATGTAAAACTACAGCGCACAGAATTGTTTTGTTTGTTTTTTTTGCCAGTTTTGGACTAATTTAACCCATCACATGTCAAAATAAGAAGGTATAGAAATAATTCTGTGAAAATATTCATTTAAGATTTAACTTACAAAAAGCCAAAAAGACGGGGAAAAAACATTCCCTTTCACTGTAGAAAGCTTAAGTTTTTGAAAATTGTAAACCACCAAAAAATTAAAAAAAAAAAAAAAAAAAGGGGGGGGGGGGGCGTCATTCTGCTTCCATTTCCTGACTTTACATTTTATTGAACCCGGCTACCTGACACTTGAGTTAATCACTGGACAGAAAAAAAGACTTCAGATGAAACAATCCATCGTGCCAACTCGAGTTATTACATGGGCATGTGGACACAAAACTAAGAACATGGGAAACCAGCTCACGTAACATGCCCTTAATCATCTTACAGCAATAAACAGAGATGCATGAAAAGGGGAGGCACAGAGAAAAGAAAGTGCAGTTCAAGCATATTTAACTCTTTGCATACAATCCCCCCCAATCCAGGGCCCACACTGCTGAAATGGCACTACAAATGACAAACAGCCAGCTATAATCCAACAGCCTCAGGACAGCTCATTCACTCACAACAGAAAGAATGCTGCTGTGATTTTTTTTAGCTCCCCTTTCTGTTGGTGGGAACAATAGCTTAGAACAAATAAGTCATCTGTATGATTTAAGAAATGCAAATAATGATAGGTTTATAGGAGGATATTGAAAATTTCATAAAGCTATCAACTCATAACTAGCAACACTGTTTCAATGGCTTTACATATTCAGGCTATAAAATGCAGAAGAGTCACCCCACTAAACAGGCTCTTGTTTATTGCCAATAAATATAATATTCCCTCCAGCTGAATGATCAGTTTGATTAACAACTTATATCTCAAAAGTATCACAGATCTGACAGGACAGAGCTCCTAGCAACATTTCGTCTTGAAGCCAATTAAATGTAGCACAATATAATTAACTTAACTAGAAACTAAAACTCTACTCTACTGTGGATTAGAGTAAATATGCTTCAACTAAGAATCATCTAAAAGGAAACTATGGTTCCAAAGGAAAGGTAAACCTGAATGTCATAGCTGTTAACAAGCCAAAAGATGAGCTGTCTAAAAGTTAAACCAATAAGCTTTAAAGTTAATGGGATGTTAAGCTTTTTCCACCAGAGATCATTTTAGAAAGAGAAAGAAAGGGCATAAAAATAGAACGATAGTGAAAGCAACTAGTAAGGTGTGTCTGAAATAACTGTCCAAATTAATGAAGGTTTCAGTGAATCTCCGAGGTCATTTGCAAGCTGACGCATGAACAGGTTAGCGTGAAGTATGCATAACTAAATCTGAGATGACATCTGCAGCTAAAATGTTGCAAAGTTCAAACTTTCCAGCGTGACCTGTTTGCTAAGAATCATCCCAAAAGACAATTGAGGTCGGTGCAGTAGTTCTCGTTTTGCCCTTCGTTCACCAAGTTATTTGTTTTTGGAAACTTATCGCTTGTATGTCTTTTGTCTCCCAGAACAAAAAAAAAAAAAAAACAAACATACAGAATATCGTGTTCAAAAATGCCTGCCAAAATAAATATTTTTAAAAGCTTTTGGCCTCAAATTTCTTTTATTCTTACTTTTTGAAACAAATATGTGACAGGTTTAAACAAGTTATTTGGTGTAAGCATTTCTTTTTACCATAATTATAAATATAATTAAGATAGATCTTGAAACCTGCTGACTTGTTTGCCCATTAATTAGAGCAGTCACTGCTCCATATCTACAGATTCTCTTGATATTTGAGCAAACAAATCTGTCCAAGAATGACCACTTAAATGTGTGAGATCAAGCTAGAAAGATAATAGTGAAACTATATAAAAGGAAGAAACTTGGGTCTGTTTCACTTTTTGTTTCAACAATTATTTTATAGAAAGGCTTAGTGATGGGGGAAGGAAAATAGTGAAAGAATGCAGAAATTCGGTAAAGTGAAGCTTCCCCTTTCCTGTTCAGTTTACAAGCTTCAAAAAAATTATCAAAAACAAAATGACACAAAAACGGATTATTATTTTATCCGGCAATTAATGTTTCTTAATGTCATAGCAAATACAAAATCTTAACTAGAATATAAACTTCAGACTCGGCAAGTTCCTGCATTCCTCAAAATGGGCCTTCTCGCATGACGGCTAGCTGCTACACAAATGTCTCCAAACTTGCAAAGTCACCGATATCTAAAGTTAAACAAACACAAACTGTCTGCCCAGCAACGCAAAGAGGCGAGCACACGTTTAACCAAGCTTCACTTTTTAATCTTCTAAAGAAAACAAGCTGAAAAGGCAAAACCCCTCGCTTTGGTCCAATGGGTAGCTAGTTAGATGACAGCAGAACACACCACCTGTGCAAACATGTTAGCTTGCTAGCAGCTAACTCTTGTCACGCGCGTGCTAAAGAAAAGGCAAGCGCTAGAATGCGACACTATATTTGAAATTGTTATACGTCTTAAATACAAAGAGTCAATAACATTTAATTATCTAAGAATGTTTAGAAAAATAAAAACACAGAACAGGGCCTAAGTCATTTCTGAGCAGGTGGGCCATGCAAACACGCAGCATTTTCTCACTCATTTTTGCTAAGAAATATCTCATGACATCTAGAGGATTTATTTACGTATCATTATGAGGGTTGGATTATGCGTGTCTATATCCCATATGGGTATAAACTGGATGCCAGATAGGTAAAAGCATCAGCGAGACCCACCGCTGGCTCAATTGAATGAAGGAACATGGGGCCTGTTAGCTAGCGTTGCCATGCTGCTTGTTTCAATGAGGCTGTGGGGGGTGGGGGTGCATTAGCAAGCACTTTTCTGGACTTATAATTTCAATGACATGATAGGATTAGGACTACTCTAATGTTTTAAACAATAATACTTAACCAATTGAAAAAACAAGTAAGCTCAATTAATACGACTTTCCTAAATGTCATACTAACTAAAGGCACTGCTAAGCCTTAAAATAACGGTAACACTAAATCAATTTGGAGTTGTTGTTGTTGCACTAGCTTAAGTGAGCTAACTAGCTTAGCTACCTGTGTGCTGGAAGAAGCCATGCTCTCGGTGAGATTTTCGCTCCTCCGCCGACGAGATGAAAACTTCCCCGGGAGGGTTGGATGACTTTATAATGACAACTACCAATTTTGCTCTACTTCGACATCATTGTCAATTGTCCCAAAAATGTACTGGCTGTCGGGATTAATTTATTTTTTTTATCCATGCAATGCATCAGCACTTCACGCTGCTCGCCTGGCCGTCACCGCCATTTCCGTCGGTTGTAGTGTGGCAGCGTGAGCCCGGGGAGTAACGGCAAATACTTCCGGAGATGGGTAACTCCAACCTTCAAATTAAAAGCCTTTATCTCTCCTCACTCATAGCTTGATCTGTGGTATTGTACTTTTTAATGAGAAAAAAAGAACAGAAGTAATATGATTTTGAACACAGATTTAAAAAAAATATTTTATTCAGATTATACTCACACAAGTAATCTTAAAGTTGACAAGCCAGCATTTACATTTATTCACTATAAAGTCTGGAATTAGGATAGTATAGGGCCCCTAGGTCAGGGCTACTTACCGGTATGCCATACAAATGTATTTTATCTTATACAAATTGGATTTTAATTTATAGTAGGATATACATTAAGCTAACAGTTTACTTTTATAGTTACTTTTATAATAATCCCTTTAGTACAATATCTTATAAAGAACTCATTGTTTCTAGATGTAGGAATGTTGTCTTTATCCATACAGTAGAATAATCAAGAACATTAATGTAAATATTTTAGACAATATGAGGAAATGTAACACAGTTACTGAAAAACACAAAATAGGAAAAAAAATATGTAAAATGTGTAAATATGTGAAATGTAAAAAAAAACAAGTAAGGGACATCAATGTCTCTTATGAAGGGACTACCGTTTTAAAACTGCAATTGGTAAGGTACTTGATTTAATTTAATGTGATTGAGATCTTAATAAATTTATGAGAAATAACTTTAGTTTGTGTTTTACTGTTAACCACACCTTAATATTATGTATTGTTTTCACATTAGTTCTATATGGGCATCCCACAACAGTTTTTCCCACCTCATTTTGAGCAACTTGTAACTTTTGTTAATTATTTTCACTTGTGTATTACCAAACATCTACTACATTATCAAAATTTAAAAAAGAACAAGTGATTCAACTAGTTCAACTGAGAAAACAACAAAGAAATAATTAACAATATTCAATAATGCTTGTACACCTTCCTCTTTTCTGCATTACATAATTAATTTGACTGGTCCATTACAGTTTTGAATGTATTATTTTACTTTGAACAACTTTGCCTGTTCTACTTATTCAAGTGCAATATTTTATAAAGTCAGGCTTCATATTCCATACTACAATATTAATAGCCATCAAGAGACCTCAACAGCAGCTGAGAATTTACAATATACAGACAGATGCCCTCACCTAAGGGCAATTTAGAGTCAACAATTTACCTAATAGTTATGTTTTTGACTATAGGAGGCTCCAGGAGTTCCTACTTGGAGAACTTGCAAACTCCTTGCACAAATGCAGCAGTTTTCCCTGCACCCAGAGGGCTGTCAGTACAAGCCCCACCTCCACCTTGTAGTGTTGTTGTTTTCTTGGGCAAGACACTTCACTCGCATTGCAAACTGATGGTGGTCAGAGGCCTGGTGGCACCAGTTTTATGGCAACTTCACTTCTGTCAGTGAGCCCCAGGACAGCTGTGAATCCAATGTAGCTTACAACAATCAGTGTGCTGTGACTGAATGTAGTGTAAAGTATTTTTGTCAACTCTCCTGACTTGAAATAAAGTGCTATATAAGTACAGGCAATACACATTGGGATTCAAACCTAGAACCTTCATGGAGCCCAACATTTATTTTCAGCATTACACTATGTTAAAAATAATAAAAATGTATAAATAACAAATAATTGAACTTTACTGATCTCACGTTGGAGAAATTTACCTTTGTATTTAACCCATCCCCTCGGGAAGCTGCCATCATGGGGCACCCAGGGGTGAAGGGTCTTGCTCAGAGAGCCATAGAGGCAGTCTGTGGGAGTGAGCTTCAAACTCACAAGCTCAGCATTCCAAGCCCTATGCCCTAACCACTAGGCTACCACTATTTCATACTGGCCAATGCCTAGACTTGAATCTCAAACGGTTGCATTTTTGATCTGAATAGAGGGAGGACTTTTTGATCTGAGTGGGCGAGGACTTCCTTTTTACCACCCTCTAACCAGTTGGTGTGGCAGGAAATACAATGCAGTCCTGTACAGAGCACAGAACCTATTTCTGCTGCTTTCAGCTCTTAGTCGGGAACGCTTACTTAATACATGTGCACCTTAAATCCCTAATGAGTTTCGCCAAATAAAATACATAGAAACTTTTTCAAGACACAGCCGACTGATAAGATTTTTTTTTTTTTTTTACATTTTCCTCAACTGACCCCTTTTCCAATGCCACACGATACGGGCCATGTCAAAAACACCCTTGGCTGAAGAACGTTATTTCATCTAAACTATAGTGAAGAAAAAAAATGTAGTGATTAATTTAGGTGAGACTATGGAAGCCGGTTTGATATAATGATAAATATCGTCATGTTAAGATGAAATCTTAATAATTGTTCTCCGTAAACAGGAATCTGTTTCATCAAAACGCATAGACACATGATTAAAGCTGCTTTTAAGCAGGTTCTCTCATGCAAATGTGCACAAATAAATACATCAAAGAGCACTCAGTTATTTAAGTAACAATTTAAATTACTTCCCAGTGAAATTTATTTTGAAAGGCATCTTTTTGATCGGCGGAAGTGATTTAAGTAAAGCGAATAAACTTGCGAACAAAACTTGTGACCTCGTGCTCTGTGTCCGGGTTGTGGTGTCAATCACAATTCTCCGGACTATTGAAGTTAAATCCATCACAAACAAATAGCCTTCAAACTATTCTTGTTTGTACAGAGGTCTTCTAGTTTTCAAGCTGTTTCCAAATGAGACTATATGAATAAAGGTTATTTAACTCCATTATGTTATAATTCCCTAAACTAACTGTAGGGTAACTCATCCATATAAAAAAAAACAAAAAACAAAAAAAAAACACTGTGAAGCTTCCTTGATCAACTGATGGATATGTTCAATAACAGTGACTGACTCTGGTCCTGCGACCAGGAGCGGAGCTAGATGGGGGGCCAGGAGCCACCCTTGGGATCACCCCTACCATTTTTTCCCCCTCTAATACAGTAGGGGGCAGCAGTAATACTCTGAAGGGGAATGTTCAAACTTCAAGATTTAAATTTTTTCATATATTAACAACTACTTGACAACAGAAACAACGTGGTTGATTATGCACACCTATATAAAAACATTAAAGATGATAGATACAGGATTCATGCTCTTTTCAGAACTTAATTTTGAATTATTTGTGTTAAAGATAAATGTATGTGCCTCTGCAGGTCATCTATAAGTCTTCAGTGAAATCATAGATAAAGATCTACTTTCATAATAACATAAAAATGTGGATATTAGTAATTAAATATATATATGTTTTTGCAGAATGATTATTGATAAAAGTAGGTGATGACATGTACGCCTCAGAACTCAAACCTGAAAAATTTTTGTCCACAATACCTTTTATTTATACAGCATATAAGTTTAAATATATCTATCTATTTGTTAGCAAAGGCTGCAGGAAAGTATAGTTTGTCTTTATTTAGAAAATATGGATGTTGTGTGTGTGTGTTCCTGTTGAAAGATTGTGGATTGACCATAAGGTTCTGGTGCCTTTCGGCCACCCCTATTAGGATTTTCTGGCTACGCCTCTGCCTGCGACAGAGTGGCGACCTGTCCAGGGTGGCCCCCCGCCTCTCGCCCTTAGACTACCAGAGATATGCACTGGCCCCACCGCGACCCTAAGGAAATGGATGGATTAACTCTGACCTACTCTTTTTCGGTATAATAACTTTATAGCTATTCGGTCAGATAAGTTACACGCTAAACAGAAGTTTCACTTTAAGTGGGCGTGGTCAGGACAGGTGTTTGAAGTGGAACTCTCCATCAGGAAGTTTTTGGTTACAGGTTGATTGTTTGGCTCTGCTGTAAACGAAAACAAGGTAAGCTTAAAAGCTGACGAGGGAGTAAAAAATATATATATATTAGCTTCTACATAAAAGCACAATAATGCCAGTTTTAATAGCCCAAAGTAACCCCGGACATTGTTAAATTCCTGCAATGGCGCAAGCGTTGCTACGAGCACTAATGTATATTAAAAAAAGATCACTGTCTGCAAATACTATTCTTTTCTTTGGAGGGTTTATGTACCGCCGAATCTTATGGTTTTAAGTTGTCAGACTTTAATGTATTTTAGCTTCATAACATTAAGTAAATGTCCACTATATTATCGCTTACATCTCTCTGCAACTTGTTTTCCATGGATAGTTTACTATGTTTTTATGTATACTACAATATTACCCAGGTTCTCCTCATCATATCTCTTTTAAGTGACTCTTCATCTTTCCTGTTTCATGTCATTAACTCCACTGAAATGAATCTTGTTATGCTCCTATCCTTTCAGAGAGGAAAGGGTTGGAAAGTGATCATGTTTACGCGCTGAGCAGCAGAAAACCAATGACTGATTGATACCAACGGGAAAGCACTGCTGTAACCGAATTTAGAGGTAACAGAGATATGCACAGATTTCTCCAGATCACCTCAGCTGAGGAATGGTTGGACTTAAAGTAACAGGTGAAGGTGGAAACAAAGCTGGTGTTCACAGGGTGAACTTGTCTGTCAAGTTTAAGCAGCTTTAAGCTTCATCCTTTTAATTTTTTTTTTTTTTTTTACAACCTGATTGGGGTAAGGGGGGAAAATACATCTACTGAAAAAATGTAACATTGCCTTATAGATGCATTAAGTAAAATCTATTTGTAATTATAATTATTTTGCTTGAGAGAGTTTTTAGAGAGTCTCGGTTTAATTTTCTTTAGGCAGCCGTCAAAGAAGTTTAAACTGAGTAAAGCACAAGGGGTGGCCAGCAGATAGATTTGGAAATAATCTTGCATGCAGATGTAAAGTGAGATTACAATGTGCAAGAGAGGGTCCTAACGGTAGAAGTTTAAATGAGAAGGAACACAGGTTCCTGAATCGATTCGTGCGGCACTCCAGAGCTTAGGTGAATAGAGGAGGAGGGCAGCTCATCTAACACCATAGAGAAAGTTATGCCCATTAAATATTACTTAAATCACTCAAGCAGTGTTTCCTGAAGGCTGATCTGCTATGGGTAATGAGGATTGGATAGTCCACAGTGACTTGTAACTCCAACATTACCAGTAAGAGATTCCTTTGGCATCAAGCGACAGGAGGATATCTTTCTGAACTGGATTCAGTACTATGATGGGATCTGATGCCTGACTTTAATCTGTCAAACATATTGTGATAAACCAGAGAAGATGCGCTGGCATCATAGAATTTAGGACAGGAAGGATGGTGGAGAAGTGGTCTGAAATACTTGCGTCCCAATTCTCTTTAACAGAACCCAGAGAACCATGCTAGTTAGTAAATAATGCTGTGTGGGCCATAACACTGATGGAGTCGAGCTAAACAAATCACAAATGCTTTGAAAACATGTTTGCCTGCATGTTAGCAGGATAGCAGACATGAACATTAAAGTTTCCACATAGCAGCTAATTATCATACTTTGGCAACAAATCAGCTGGTAGGTCCGAAAACTCTTTTATAACATACTCATTATATTATGGTGAATGATATGCAAAATGCAAGTATTCTATGCATTGATCTAGAGATCTATACAGCTGTTAGCATCTACCATTTGTAAAAACAATCCGTTACAGCAGCATTTCTTTATTTATTTCACGATCAATCAAGCATTGTAGAATTTTACAGAGTAAAAATTATTTGGGAATACTGAGATGATAATGATGATGCCATTAGGATTCTGGTTAAGTTTGGAGATTGGTGCATTTTGTTTTGGTGAACGAAAGCCATCCCACCTGTGAAGATGAAGGCAGCATCATATTATGGAGGTGTTTTGTTCATAAAGAAACTTGTGCACTTCATGAAAAAATAAGCAATAATGTAAGATTTTAAGATATGAGATTTTAAGTTTGAATAAAAATTGGACAAAAAATAAACTTCTGTGGAAAGGGCCCTACAAACCCAGCTTAGTTGTTTAAGAAAGAACAAGCCAAAATGTCACTGAAGTGAGAAACCTTTGGAAGGCTATAGTTAAGTCATTTAGCTATCGGAAAGGCTACCAAATGTTATGGAAATGCTCTGCAACACTTCTCATGCTGAATGAAAATATTTCATCTTAACTGAGCCAAATTAGCATTTAGTCTGATTAAATATCAGACAGTAAGAAAAGAAAGGTTAGTCAATATGTTGGGTTTAATAAAAAAAAAACAGAATATGGAAATATCTGGTTTGAACCATAAATATTCCGCTTTGCTGCTTGCAGTGTCTTATAGGTTCCCTCTTCTTGCACAGAGACACATGTCAACCATCCACTTTGCTTATTGGAGTCAATAATCTTCTTCAGCAGGTAAAGGAAGATGCCAGACAGAGGAAGACACCATCAGAGGAGTGATGCACCTGCAGAGTACATGAGCAGGGATTACTCACACAGGGGACAGCACTATAATAACCAGAGACGCAGCCAAAACCCGAGAGATGAGGAGGAGCGAGTCACTGACAGAAGAACCAAGGAGAGCGGAAAGAGAGAAGTGACAAGTCCATCTGTTTACCAGGGGGCAGGTGCATATCCATATGACATAAGACCCTCAACACTGTAAGACAACATCCAATACTCAATATTATTCTGTAAACATTATATTACCCCCTATGAAAAAACTATTGTCTTTGTAGGCCCAGAGAAACATCAATCTATCACCCTGAGGTCAATCAGCAAAAGCACAGACAAGCTTTGTACAACTTAAGATACGCTCTAACCACTAGAGGCAAGTATATTTATTCACTTCGAGGACCTTTTCATTAGAGCTGCTTAGTTCTGCTGCTTAGTTCTTATAGTAATAATTACTGCTTAGTATATTTCCACTTAAATTGTACATATAGACTTTAATTGTACTCATTAAAGCCTTGGGTTCTCTAATATTAAGTTAACTTGTGGTCTATGGATATCTGGCATGTTTGCTTGGAGTCTGCAGTATTTAATTGGTGGAACATATTTTTAGTTTTAACGTTGATCTTGCCGCTTTCTTCTTTCACATCTCTCAGGTATCTGCCAGTTAATGGAGGTGGCTTTAAATCTTTTTATCATAATTTGTGCCGGAGTGCCATACAGCAACAACGGGGGTTACCGGGACTTGGCCAGCTTCGGAGGAATTTACCATTATTATTTTGGTGGCGCCAACGCCTTCACTGGAGCAGATTCAAACAGGGTCCAAGAGCTGGACCGCCTTTTCAACCAGCTCAAGCGGCCACCCTATGCCTTTGCTTTGGCCTGTGGCGTGATTTTGATGATCTATGCCCTTGTAATGTTTGCCCTGGGTATCTTTAGGGTTCCTTATCGCAGGCCCCCCATGCTGTTGGTGGAGGCTATTGTGAATTTTCTGATCAGCTTGGGTTATGTCGCCGGGCTAGTGATCTATTTTGTTAAAATACAGGAAACCTACCAAAACCCCATCTGTCAGGAGAGGGAGCAAATGTACAAGAGCAAAGGGCATAATGGTTTTGAGTGCCGCTTTAATGGTGCAGATATTGCAGGAGGACTGTTTGGGGTGGCAGGGATTTTTGTTTTCATCTTTGGTGGGGTGTTAGCTGTGAGAGCCTACAGATCAATGCAAGAGCTGAAGACGGGAATAACAAATGAAGACAATCATTTATAAACAGGTTTTCATTTAGTGCCATTTTTAAACAAATGTATTAATACGTTTTATGTATTTTCTTTTTTTCTGTACATATTTTATTGTATTAACAGTTTAAATAGTGTATAATATTGTATTATTTGGCAAATAAAGCATAATACTGAAAAAGTGCACTGTATAAATCAGAAAAGTTAGCCTCCTGGTGAAAAACAAATGAGGTGATTTTAATAGAACAGCTAAAATGCCCAGCTGGAGTTGGTGAAACAAATTCAGAACTCTTTAATTTACTATTTTAAAGCAATCGTTAGAATTGTTTCTTATAAAAATTAAAGGAAAATCTTAAACTGCTAAACTATATTTGTAAAAAAAATTGTATGACCGCTTATCCTTTGAACCAAAGTCCTACAAAGTGTAAACAAATACATATATTCTTTAAACAAGAAAAAAAGTTAATGGCTGTAGTTTTGTTGCTTTAATGTATATTATTAGTACTAAGATTCTTTTTTTTTTTTTTTTTTTTTTAACTCGAGTGGCACCTACTTTGTCAGGAAAAGTGCTGATGTTACAGTTATGGAGACACGGTAGTGCTTCTGATCTTACCATGTAGTATCCGTTATGTCGAAAAAAATATACTATCAAAGAAAAACTACATACTGGAAGATATGTTCATAATATGTAAGTAGTAGTAGTTGTATTGTCTAAAGTGATATTAATTGTATACTAGATGTTCACAAGAAAGCATAACAGTTCTGGCAATTTTGCTTTTTTTTTTTAGTTTGCAGATTTCTTTGTACTATGTTTACATCTTGTTAAACCCCACCCTCATGTCTTTATGAGTAAAAGATAAGAAATAAAAAATAATATTTCAAAATTAACCGTAGGTGCATGTTGATTTTAAAGAAGAAAAAAAAAACAGCCTTGAAGCAAAACAGATAAGTTTTGGTCTGTGTTTTACACTGTTGCGTGCATGAATTCTGTACTTATCATCTAGTCAAGTCATTTTTAATATGAAAAATTAAAAATTTTTGAATATTACACTTCAGAGCGTTGCTTACCCTTTAGAGACACATTAAAGCACTGCTTGTATAGAAGTTTAAAATTTCACGTAGAATGCAATGTTTTGCTGGTAAGTTGGATTCGAAGTTCAGTAAATATACATTGAAAGTGAAATACTTTTTGAAATAAAGTAAAATTATCTCTGTAGTAAACAGCAGGGATAAGATTGACTGACAAGAGGAAGTGCATAAATTGCAGCTCATAATGACAATTAACATGGTAATTAAAATGAATGCTGGACAAAACCACTCACAGTAAAAAGTTTTATTGCTACTTGGCTTAAAGTTAATTAAAAAAAACTCATTAAAAATTGAAAATAATATTAGCAGCATCTGAAATAAAAAAAAAGTGATTATCTTTTATTTCACAGGTTCAAATGAGTATAAGTCTGTCTGAAAAACAGCGAAAGTGCTATTTGTTATCTCCATTCCTAAACAATGTCATTATTTAATACTCAACATAAATTTTAGCAGCAATCTGCATGCTAGGAAAAAATATATTGAATATGCTTCATTTTATACAAATAAATCATATTTCGTATATACTATATGTTTCTCAGTTTAGGACATGCTTCCAGTATGAAATACAGTTACACATAGTACCCTCAATGGTGCATTAATGAGTGCCAGTTTTCTGAGGAATCCCAATAGGTTTCAATTCTGAAGCAAGAGTGATATAGAAATATGCATGATAAAATCAAGTACAAAAATAAACATCAAGCTTCTTGGCATTGAGAAAAAAAACAACTATATCAAGCATATTTAAAAAAATAATCTGCAGGAAGGAAACATAACATTGAACAGCGGCTACTTTGGTCACATATTATACAGTTGGAGTGCCTCTGATCATTTTCGTTCACAGTTCACACAGAGTTACAGTCAGACCATTGGTCACACAGGCATGCATGCACTTCTCACTACACAGAAACAGATATTTTGCAAGCTTGTTCAGTCGTGGAAAGAGAAAGTATTCTGTTAAAGTTATTAACTGAATTAGGAGAAGAAAAAACAACTGTCATCTGCTTTCATGTATGTTCCCTCTACTTGCTTGTGAGAAATGTTTATTGAGTATTGTGCTAAGTGATTTATTTTTTTTTTTTTCAAATCATTCTTCACAGCTCCCTCTTCCTGATTCTGTGCCCCATTCTGACTAATTTCCGGGCACAATCACTCCCTCACCAGAAACTAAAAGAAGCTGAAAAATTCAAACCCTAATATGGCATCAAAGAGGAGACAGGCACAGTTAGATAGTTAAGAGTTAAAAATTGACTCAGTTTGGTGAAAACTACAGAGAAATGTCATATTCATTTTTAGACTGGCAGCAAAGCACAAAGACAGTAGGTCAAAGGGATGGACAGACACAAAATGCCCTATGCAACATATAAGCACAACCTCAACTACATCAGACATACACACAGCACTCAATAGTTAGACGTTTTGACTGACAGGATTTATGTGGTATCAGTGACACTTTCATTACATTTATATTTACACTTAACATGTTGCATATTTTACAAGAGAACTCAAAGAATCACACTGTTTTTGAAACCTCTGGGAAAGATCAAGTTCCTATCTGTTGACTTGGACAATCATTATCTGTCTTAGAATGTCTGCAGTGTCCAGGAATGTCTCACAGACTCGACTCCAGATACTAGATGCATTCTGATCGTGGACATCAGACCCACACTGTCCAATGTGTTTGGCATCCCCGACATGGGTTGATAAAGTGACAAGAATTAGCCATCAAAGTGCTCTATAGGTAAAACATAGCCTGGTATAATCTTTGAAAAATAATTTAAGGAATTGGAAAGTAAGTATGATTACAGTTTAAATTTACAAATTTTATTTCATTGTTTTGAACAGGAAAATTTCATTTTTAAATTTTGTTCAAAACTAATAAAAAAAATCAACATAATATTTGCTAGTCATGGCTACAAGCAATGAATTACGTCCAGTCTGATTAGAAAACAGAACTTTAAGTTGGTATAAAAATGGCACGTGTAAACAGAACCAGAGCGATATGCTATCCCACAATGTACTAACGCGCATTCTATTTCCTAAAGTGGTTATACTGGTGTTTCTTTTGTTGAAGGTTGAAAAACTTTGCAGAAAAGAAAATGAGATTTTATTATGGACAAACTCCTTAGACCTTTTGAAACCTTAGTTTGGAAGCTCCGGTTCGCTTGTTCTTCTTATGTTGTTTTAGTAAAAGGAGTAAAAATAACGACACATTTATCTTTTCTTGTAGAGAAAATATTGGCCTTTTTACTCTATTCTTAGAGAAACAAAGCAAGGAAGGACAACTCAAAGAAATTATTTCTAAAATGAATTTTCTTTAAGGCAAAAAAGCTTTAGTCTCAACAGTTCCAATAGAGATGTTAAATAAAAAAACTACAGAAGCTTGGGTTTAATAAGAAAATAACCTGTAAAACTAATATTATAATAATTTACTATATAAGTTAACAAAGATTAGAGCTTTAGGAGAGCAGCTAAGCTGCCTCACTTTCAAGAAAAAGGGAGAGATGGAGGCATTCAGTCCTGGATACACTGAGGTTTCCACGGCAGCACAATACTGAATTTCCCCTGATAGTTTAGATATAATAAATATGAATGTGATTTCTTTCCTTGGGTATAGCAACCCTTAGATCTATAAACATTGCAGGTAAAAATTAAAAAAATGAAATATTACATTCAGCAGAATAATATAAACTTAAGAAAGACTAATCAAACAGTAAATACGGTATTAACTACATGTATACTTTGAAGGGGAAATACAACAAGGGGATGTTTTAAAAAATTGCCCGTGCCACAGTTACTGGGAACCATGGCAATTTTTTTTCTTATATAATAGAAACTTTTTAAATTTCAGATCTAAGTTTAGTAGATAGTTTTGTTTTTTAGTTGATTACCATTATATTAAATTGCCTACTCTCTGCCCTTCCACTTCTAGACTACCTAGAACAAGCCATTCTGACAAACTAAAATGTGACAAACAAGACTTGAACATGTTTATTTTACCAAACAGTGAGGAGGGTCTCCTCTTAAAAGTTCTTATATCTCCCTCTTAGAAAAAAAAATATTTTAAGGCTTTTATCACATCTTTGCCATGGGTATTAACAGTACATATGATATTATGATAGCCTATACACTTCTGTTGCCCCCATATTTTATTCATTGTGTGCTGAGATCGAATAAAGCATTAACCAATGGAAGGAATGCAGTGCATATGGAAATGTACATAGGAAGAAAAAACAGCTTGAATTATGTCACAACAAAATGAGTCTCTAAGCCCAAAATGTAATCTTTACAAAATGGTCTGAAGGATCGTAGAGTTATTCTCAGAATTTTGTTCACCCCACAATATTTGATCTGATTAATAGATGTTAATTTAAAGAAAGTGAGTTAGCTATAGGTTGTTTATGCCCGCCAGATTCTCAGCGTGGCCTGGCAGATCCCATGTCCCTAATCTGGACACAGACTTAAGTGAAAAGCAACTTCTAGGTTTAAAATTTCAGGTGAAGAAGAAACAGTAAATTAATCAATGCAAAAAAAAAAAAAAATGTATCTTTTGTTGAGGTTTCTTCCTTATGTACCTATAAAATATAATATATATTCATTAGTAAGGATAAACTGTCAGCAAATGAACATGTTTCAAGTGTTAAAAATAAGTTAGCATGAACAGAGATTTCAAACAGAGGGCAAATCTAACATAATTTTATGTTTGCAAGCTGACGATTATCTATACGATTAGTTCAAATTAATGATCAAAATGTGCTTAAAGTCATAATATTGTTTTTATCATTAGAAATATAAGTTTAATATTTATATATTTTCACTTCAACTCAGTAAAGATACCATAAAAATCTTCAATGCCAAACTGCTTCCAAAAAAAAGCCAAAATTAGTCATTTTAGCAGCAAGCAGGCAGTTACTTGGCTGGTCCTTGGCTGGTTCCCTACAATTCCTCTTTAAACATCAATCTTTGTCCTAAAATGTTATTTCTGTCATGATTTGTGGACAGTAAGATCTAAAGAGAAGCGCCTCCTCCTGGTCAGACCCTGTAAATCAGTAAAAGGGTGGAGTCAGAGTAAAAAAATATTCATGCCCAGGAAAAGAAGGGGGTAACTCTAGTGGCTGGAAGTCGGAGGCGATTTTGCTAGGAGTTGAGGGGAAGTGGGCTGCCATTCGGCTGGCTTTTGACTGCGAAGGGCCAGTCTGAATGGCCGCTAATGTATTCTTCTCTTCAAATGTTTTTTTTGTTCCGTTACTAAAAAAAAAAAAAAAAAAAACCCCAAATTTAAGGACAAAATGATTGCCCTTTCGGTCAACATTAACAATATGATTTTTCCTTTTAAATTGTAAGAAAAATACCACAAATATAACCTAAACAATTAGTTCATTATCATAGGGTAATCTCTATATAAACTTACTTATGTGTGAAGAGATTAACCCACTAGTTTTATTTCTAGATATTAGTTTGACAGATTTATACAGAAGAAATGTGGAAATTATGATATTACTTTATAATAATTGAACTTTATTGATCTCAGACTGGAGAAACTAACCCTCTGCCTTTAACCCATCCCCTTGGGGAGCAGAGGGCTGCCATTGTGCGGCGCGCCGGGGAGCAATGTGGGGGTTAAGAATCTTGCTCAGAGACCCAGAGTGAAGGCTGTGGGGATCGAACCAGCTACTGGCACCCTTCTCAAAGCACAAGTGCACTGCTCTAACCACTAGGCAAACACTTCCTGTTCAGAC